TCACAGTTTTGTAGCCTCCAGCTCACAGAGGAAGGATGGCCTCAAAGCAAACTGATTTCTGCAGCAACCAAATGGCTCGCTCATAACTTTAATGCCCGTAGCTCACAAAGTAGGATTTTCACTCACAAGACTCCACAGCTTAGAGGGAACATTGACAGCAAGTAGTTCACTGCAATCCTTTGCAACCTTCATTCATTCTGTGCAGCGTTAAGTGGACTATGCACAGGCATTGAAAGCGTCCACGTGCAAGCAGTTCCGCCCGTTTCTTCAGACCCCAGTTTAATATTTCAGGGCCTGATCTTTATCTGTATCGGTACAGACGCTTAGTATATACTGATAATCTCCCCCTTGCTACAAAACAAATCCAAAATCCAGTTCCGCCACAGCTTAGAGGGAACATTGACAGCAAGTAGTTCACTGCAATCCTTTGCAACCTTCATTCATTCTGTGCAGTGTTAAGTGGACTATGCACAGACATTGAAAGCGTCCACAGACATTGAAAGATGACCCTCACTGTGCAAGCAGTTCTGCCCGTTTCTTCAGACTCCAGTTTAACATTTCAGGGCCTGATCTTTATCTGTATTGGTACAGACGCTTAGTATATACTGATAATTTCCCCCTTGCTACAAAATGAATCAAAAATCCAGTTCCATCTTCAAGACTGGCGTTCATTCCCATATAAGCTTTCGTGAGCCACAGCTGCTTGCGTCCAGTGGCACCTTTAAGACCAACAACGTTTTATTCAAGGTATAAAGTTTCGTGTGCGTGCACAGGAAAGCTCATACCAGGAATAACACTTTGTTGGTCTTAAAGGTGGCACTGGACTCAAAACTTTGTCCTGTGGCTTCAGACCAACATGGCTACCCACCTGAAATAAATGTTGTGAATTGTTAAGGTACCTCTTTACCCCTGCAATAGGTTTGCCAGCTCTGGGTTGGGGAATATCTGGAGATTTGGGGGGGGGTGGAGCCTGGGGAGGGGAGGGACCTCAGCACAGTATAAAACCATAGAGTCCATTCCGCCATGTGAGAGCCAGTTTGGTGTGGTGGTTAAGTGCGCGGACTCTACTCTGGGAGGACCGGGTTTGATTCCCCACTCCTCCACTTGCAGCTGCTGGATGACCTTAGGCAAGCCATAGTTCTGGCACAGCTGTTCTCTCAATGACAGTTCCTGTCAGAGCTCTCTCAGCCCCACCTACCTCACAGGGTGCCTGTTGTGGGGAGGAGGAAAGGAATTTGTAAGCCCCTCTGAGACTCTGAGTGAAGGGCGGGATATAAATCCAAACTATTCTTCTTCTTTGCAGTCCTTTTCTGCAGGGGAACTGATCTTGGTTGTCTGTAGATGAGGTGCAATAGTGGGAGGTCTCCAGGTGCCACCTGGAGGTTGGCAGCCCTACTTTGATATCCCCTCGCTTCAGCCTTGTTTCTTTGTTGGCTTGCAATGTGTTACATATAGTTTATTTTTATATATACACCTATATTATATGATTTACCTATATAGTCAACTTAACGGCTTCAATAACGACAATATATATATTTAAGCGTATGCTGTAATGGTATCCAACAGACTTAATTCAGATATTTTAAGCATGTGGCAAATTGTTATTGGTGCAGTCTATCTCTCTGAACTCTTGTCCTCTGTCTCTCCACACAGGACTTTTTCAACGGGCGATAGCTCAAAGTGGAACGGCTCTCTCCAGCTGGGCAGTCAGTTTCCAACCTGCAAAATATGCCAGGGTGTTGGCCACAAAAGTCGGTTGCAATGTGTCAGATACGGTAGAATTGGTAGAATGTCTGCAGAAGAAGCCTTACCGAGAACTCGTTGACCAGGATATTCAACCAGCTCGGTACCACATAGCCTTTGGTCCAGTCATAGATGGGGATGTGATACCAGATGACCCTCAGATATTGATGGAGCAAGGAGAGTTCCTCAACTACGACATAATGTTGGGCGTGAACCAAGGAGAAGGGTTGAAATTTGTGGAAAACATTGTAGACAGTGAAGACGGCATATCAGCCAGTGACTTTGACTTTGCAGTGTCCAACTTTGTTGACAACTTATATGGATACCCTGAAGGCAAAGACATATTAAGAGAAACCATTAAATTTATGTACACTGACTGGGCAGATAGACACAACCCAGAAACAAGAAGGAAAACACTGTTGGCTTTGTTTACTGATCATCAGTGGGTTGCGCCAGCAGTGGCTACGGCAGATCTCCATTCAAATTTTGGATCACCCACATATTTTTATGCCTTTTACCATCATTGCCAAACAGATCAGGTACCTGCATGGGCAGATGCCGCCCATGGGGATGAGGTCCCTTACGTTTTGGGGATCCCAATGATAGGTCCTACTGAATTGTTTCCTTGTAATTTTTCCAAAAACGATGTCATGTTAAGTGCAGTCGTGATGACATACTGGACAAACTTTGCAAAAACTGGGTAAGTCCATGATAGATACATAGCATCACAATGAAGATGATGATTCAAAGCCCATCCTGTCTAATGGCACTCATGACAACGGTTGCCATATTGGTGTGCTGAAATTGGTCCATCCTGTCTAATGGCACTCATGACAACGCCATATTGGTGTGCTGAAATTGGCTGCTTTTTTCCTGTAATACTTTCATATATCTCATGAAGTCAGTTTAAGACCAGGAGTAATACATATGCAGCACTATTCTATGCAGAATTACTCCAGTTTAGGCCTATTGGAATCAAGAGGCCTAGACTGGAGTAATTTTGTGTAGGACTGCATTGGTAAAATGATCAGTCCCAGTAAGGGATAGCACACAGACCAAGACATTGGCCAGTTTCAAATGTGATAGCCTCACAGCCCTACAGCTAGTGTATTTATATTTTAGCCACCAGCTCAGAGGCAGGGACAGAGGAACAAGGGCAAAAAAAAAGAACGAAAACGTCTAATTCAAGAGGGAATAATTTGCAGGTTGGGCTTCGAGAGAGGAGAAATATGGGTAGTTTTGCTGTACAAAAGCTGTGTGTTGATCTTCTGTTGTAATATCCTGCTGTCACAGAATTGGGGCCTGGATTGAGCCTGATACCATGTGAAAAGTATATTTTGAAGCTGGAGTAAGTTTGTAAAAAATAATGTCCACTTTTTCCCCCCTAGGGATCCAAATCAACCAGTCCCACAAGATACAAAGTTCATTCACACGAAACCCAATCGGTTTGAGGAAGTAGCATGGACCAGATACTCTCAGAAAGACCAGCTTTACCTTCATATTGGATTAAAACCGCGAGTGAAAGAGCATTACAGGGCCAACAAAGTGAACCTGTGGTTGGAACTGGTACCTCACCTGCACAATCTTAATGACATTTCACAGTATACCTCTACAACAACTAAAGTGCCATCAACTGATATTACTTTCAGGCCAACGCGGAAAAATTCAGTACCCGTAACTTCAGCCTTTCCTACAGCCAAGCAAGATGATCCCAAGCAACCGCCGAGCCTAATTTCCGGGGATCAAAGAGACTACTCCACGGAGTTGAGTGTAACTATTGCAGTTGGAGCATCTTTGCTGTTCCTGAACATTTTAGCCTTTGCAGCTCTATACTACAAAAAGGACAAGAGGAGACATGACGTCCACCGGAGATGTAGCCCACAGCGCACTACTACCAATGATCTTACCCATGCACAAGAAGAGGAAATAATGTCCCTCCAAATGAAGCACACTGACTTGGGTCATGAATGTGAGTCCATCCATCCACATGAGGTGGTTCTTAGGACCGCCTGCCCCCCAGACTACACACTAGCTATGAGGCGGTCACCTGATGATATTCCCTTAATGACCCCCAACACCATTACAATGATTCCCAACACTATACCAGGGATTCAGCCCCTACACACATTTAATACATTTACTGGTGGACAGAATAACACTCTGCCCCATCCTCACCCACACCCCCACCCACACCCCCATTCACATTCAACAACTAGGGTATAGCCAGACAAGATGAAACAAACTTTTATTTTTTGGTGGATTACAGTGGGGGATAATTATGGAAGACGAGACTTGCCTTTCACCCTACAAGACTCTTACTATTTAAATATGGAGGAATATTATGTGAATATACATATCAAGAACTTTGGGGGTTTTGGGGGAAGATGAATTGTACATATATACAAATGAACTTTTAAAAGAAAAGTATAACTTTTTACAATTGCTTGAAGCAATTGTCCTGAATGATACTTTTTTCATTCACATTCAAGTATTAATTTTTTTTGAGGATTTAAGTTACGTAACGGGATTAGGCATGTGCAACAAAATCAGGAAGGAAATGATGACTGAAAATTAAAAAATAAATAAAGTTCTATCAATATGCACAAGGGACACGTTAATGGAATGTCAGATAATTTTCACCAGTTTTGATTTCGAACTGTTTTCTTGCGTAGACCATATTTACATATTTGGATAATTATACAAAGCACCGATGCTGTTAAAAAGGCCTTAGAAATGGGCTCCTTTGCTGAGATCTGCCAAGGAAAAAGGGGAGGAAAAAAAAAGTTTTAGAACATGGCAGATATGACATTATCACATAAGCGCTGTCAGTATAAACGCTGTGGGAATAAAGGAAACGGGATATTTTTAGCACGATGTGCATGGTAATTTATTATGCTTGGTGGCTGTGCTGCTGATTAAGCCGTAATTAAAATTCTTCTCATCCCATTGGGGTTCTCAATAGAAGCTTCTTCCCTCAATTGGCACAACCTAAAGGAGATTTATTTTAAAAGGAGGGGGGGGGGAAACCAAGAACCAAACCAAAAACCTTAACTGACAACCCGGCTATTCCCGGTAGTGTCCCAAGTAATTGAAGGCATTATAGCAGGTTTCTTTTAAAAGAGGTGTTTGATGATACTGTAGGTGCCGAGCAGGGAACACACGTGGGTAGGGATCCCAAAAGGAAATGAACGAATGTCTCTGTTCGGTTGTTATGTTCTCGTTCCACCTAATTAATTTACAGTGTTTGCAGTGCTGATAGGGCATTTTTGACGAAAACGTTACCGTTTTGAAGGGGATTCATTACAATCTCTTAGGCTTATATCAGTCATTCCTCTTTAAAAAAAAAATATCCAAAGATTTATTTCCAAGAAGATTTTGCAATATGTAAAGGTTTTCCCTCTCTCCAACCGCAAATGTTCACATTGGTTCTAACTCTCATTCATTTGACGTCTCATCTCACGTGCGGTAAAAGTTTTACTCATAGTATTTCCAAGTGATTCCCTTCTTGGCCTGTGTATCTTCAGAGATGAGGGAGCTCACGGGGAATATCTTTAAGGAGAGCTCTGCAGAGTAGAAAGTAGCGGTGTGGAAGCTATGGGGTTGGATCCAAGTAGCTGGTCAGCTGGTGGTAAAGGGAAGCAAGTTCTCTTTTGGCCACCCACGAAGGTTATGTGGGGGATCATGGGAATTGAATCAGAAAAAGCCACAAGAGATGGGAGTGTAGCAAGGAAGAGAAATGGTCAAGAGTGTGTTAAAAAGCTGTCTGGATCCAACCCTATATAAAGAATGGGAGAGTCAACATGGGAAACGTTTCAATTCTGCGTCTCATTTTTAACATTGTCCTTTAGATTGGAAAGGAATGGTTGAAAAATGATATGGTCTTTGTAGCCCCTCAGTTACTTTCAAATTTAAAAAAAATGGTATGTCACAATCAATAAAAAAGTTTGTAATATGTAATCAGATGTACATTTATATAAAAAAAGAGGAAAAAATTGAGATGGACTAAAGAGCACATCCCTGATGAGTACTTTCTCTCTTCCTGTATTATATTTCTATTAGAGTAAAGTTACGTGAATCTTTTTTTTATTTTGCATTTTTTCAAAAAATTACTAGCAATTTTGATAGTTTGTAAGATAATGCGCAGAACTTTCTCTGACAAACTAACTGCAGTAACAGAAATGTTTCTTTTCAGTTACTCTTTTTCAAGATTGAAAGCTTATTACACACTCCGCAAAATTGTATACTACTTGATGGAAAACAAACATTCTTTGTACTTCTGGGCCAGTCGTGTTGGCCGCCAAGTGGAAAAAAAAATAAAGCTAATCTGGATAATGAATATTATAATTATTCCAACGCTAAGAGACCTGAGATTTGCTCATTAAAGAGCTCAAATGTTTATTGCTGTTTTGTCATTTTTTAAAAATGAAGTAATGGTAACTGTCTCAGAATAAAGAGTTATTTCTTGAGATTGTTCTGGCTTTTGAAGACTTCTGTATGCCTTCTACAGGTCAAAATGTCTCCTTGCTTTTGGGTTGTAATCCTATCATTCAATTCTTTACAGGGGAAAATGCATATGTGGCAAACAGACAAGTCGTGCAGCCCAGTCCTAGGTGTGTTTACTCAGAAGTAAGTAGGGGTGCCAACCTCCAGGTGGTGGCTGTTGATTACTCACTATTACAACTGATCTCCAGGTGACTGATGTCAATTCACCTGGAGAAAACGGCTGCTTTGGAGGGTGGACTCTAGGGCATTGCACCCCACTGAGGTCCCTCCCCTCCCCCAATCCTGCCACATCCCCTGGCTCCACCCTCAAAATCACCAGATATTTCTCAAGACGGAACTGGCAACCCTAGAAATAAGTCCTTGACAGTGCAGCCTTGAGCAGAGGCGGCCGGAAGCAAGGGGCGGGGCTTTGTCATGTGCCCCGCCCCCTGCACCTCACCCGGGGGAACTGCGTTCCCCCGCGTTCCCCCCCCAAAATGACCTCTGGGCTTACATCATTTTCCTCTCCTCCATTTTTCCTCACCACACTGTGAAGTCAGTTAGGCTGAGAATATGTCACGGGCCAAAGGTCACCCAACAAGCTTCCATGGCAGAATAGGGAATTGAACCTGGGTCATCCACGTCCTACTCCGTCACTCTGGCCACTGCACCCCAAAGAGTTGTAGTTCCGTTTAGGATTACCCTGATAACGTTCAGCTGGCCTTATTCCAAGGCCTTCAGGCATCGAATCGGAATCCGAAATCCTTTTGATGCTGCCTTGAGTATAAGCCCTATGAAACACAGCAGTTACTGCGGAATAAACATGACTAAGATTGGGCTGGACATTTTCAGACCAACATGGCATCCATTTAGCCAAATGCTGGAATGGCCAAAAAGAAGTTCCTCTTAGAAAGGAAGAAGAAAGAACAGGCTTAGTTCAAACAAATGATGTTGAGAAATTCGTAAGTACAAAGCAGGGTTCTAAACTTTCATGCAAGCAGCTCTTCTGAGCACACTGAGTGTGGACTACATGAACCCCATGGAGAGAAAAAATAGGTAGTATTCACTCAGAAGCCTTTCCTTTGACATCATCATTTTCGACAGTGGTGCGAATACAGCATAGACTGGTGATCCTGGCTGTCCATCAAAGTTCTCCCCGTAGAAGCCGAAACAGAAAAAGTCTTCAAAATTCAGGATGGTCCATGTGCAATTTCTGCCTGACGTGGTTGTGACTGTGACCTGCCAAATGTAAACCAATAAAAAGAATTGTTTGCCATCGGATAACTATCATTTAATAAGAAGGTTATATTTTGCTATGTTGACGAATGAAGACAAACCAGAGGGAAACCCCCAAGAGAAAAAAGTGGTGGGCACCAACCAAGGCTACATGTGAACAAAGAAATGTGAATGTTTTTTTCTTAACATGATCAACACCAAATGACCTTTAATGCTAGTTGATCAGTGGCCATATATCTCACGACAGCTCTGTATTAAAACAGTCTCTGATCATTGGTGGGCTTTTTTAAATTAGTTAAAATAAATCATTTAGGTGTACTTAGTGTGGCACTTTTTTATTTGGGGCACAGCTGATCATAGCATAGTAAGTGTGAATCATGGTGAAAATTTAGGGCATATAACTGTCTTCTAACATGTTCACAAGAAATTGGCTGTGAGCTGGGAATGATACATGAACTGTACAAAAACCACAATTGTCAGGGTCAGTCTACCAATTTGGATGCACTGTGAGGGCTTTCCCTTTCCGAATCATGGTGAAAATTTAGGGCATATAACTGTCTTTTAACATGTTCACAAGACATTGCAGCATACATGTCCAACTGCACAAAAACCACAATTGTCAGGGTCAGTCTACCAATTTGGATGCACTGTGAGGGCTTTCCCTTTCCATTCTGTGTGCAGGGGCATATTGCCTCTCCTCCCCCAGTCCAGAGCCAAAAGTGCATTACAGTGCATAGACGAATCTCTCGGGAATGTGGACTCCGGGGGGGGGAGTTTGAGGTGTGGAATGGAGTGAAGTCCAATCAGCTTCCATATGCAAAAGACCAGGTTGTCGCAGCAGTTGTGGTGTGGGCGGGACCCGGGCTTTGCCTTCTGATTGGTGGCGATATATGCTGAGGAGCAGTGCCATCAGCCATACACTAAGGGAGTGCATTTTAGAATTAGAACTTTGGCACCCACTATTCAATTATATATAAGGAGAGATAATTGCAAATCATGCAGCTCTCCTGTACCTTAACATATAATTTTTTTTTGGGGGGGGGAGAGTAACAATAGCAATTTTTCAAATTTAATCAAAACTGTAGCCCCCGTGCAAATGAGGCGTCTGTGTGTTGACTCACTGCGTGGGGAGGGAGAGAGGAAATGAGCATGCTGGCCCCGCCCCCTGCCTCCACTCTATCACCCAATCATTGGCACAGTTCAAATGCACACAAAAAGTGCCCATAACATATTTCCCCTCCCCATGACAGGTGACACTGCTGTCCAAATGTTGTTGATCTCAGGGAAGGTATGGATGTGTGGGCACTTCCTCCACATGTGCATTGTGCCCGCTTTCCCAATCCCACATGGTGAGTGAATGCATGAATGGATCCTCTCCAGAGGGCACATTAAAATGCATTGGAACACTGAAGAAGCTTAATGGAG